GCATTTAATATGCTTCTAAATTATTGAGTTTTACCAAACATACCATAGAGATCATACTATTCCTCATTTTCTTCAAAAAAGAAATTTGGTTGATCAAGTGCCCATCATGAATGTAAAAGATAAGGTGAACATCAAGGATAATATATATGAGGCTTTCACCTCGTAGAGAAGTTCAGGACCTGGGAGTGTGTTGACACAGGTTTGAATTTCAGCTTCATTACGCTCCAGCTGGAGTATGGGCGCCTCATGCACCTCAACGTCAATTTCTTCAGGTATGAATTGAAACTTTTTCAGTCCATATCAACCCGTGTATGGCTGGAACAAGCCCTAGACATCATCTGGTCCAAAGTGCTTCGATGGTGGCAAAGCATATAGATGACTTACACAGCGCTTCTTGCTCATGGAGGTGGAGTGAAAGTGCAATTTCCCTTTCCTCACATTTCTATCTGGCTTCCATTCCCATTTTCCAAACTGACCTTTCCAGTCACCTACGCCACTCGACCTCCTCCTTCCTCTGTCTCTTCTTGTTCTTCTTCCCTCACTTTTGTCAGAGAAAATTTTCTCTTTTGGAGTTTGGGCACAGACTCTCTTTCCAGCTTCCTCTATGAGTCCTTCACAACAAAATCTCCATTGTTCCCCCTAAAAGCACTCTGCCTTTTATCATCCATGAGGTTTCCACTCTCCTTGTTAGAATACCTTTCCTCCCACACTGGGAGATCCAGTCCGCCCTGCTCAGACACCTTTATTGATTCCCTCAGGGAGAGTTTATCAGTCCCTCTTCTTTTCTCCTTTGATAATCCATTCATACCACATCCTCTCACATGTGCTTCCTTCTGGACATAGATGTTTTGCTCCCTCGGTCATGATGCTGCTTACGACTCTGAATCAGGTCTTCTTTTATCTATCTACTATGGTGTCAGCACTTAGCACGGTATCGCAATGAGTGTGGGTACTCAGTAATTGGGGAAGAAATGTACCTGGCTCCTAACCCAGCTGGGTTAGGTGTGTTTGGTGTGTGTTTGGTATCACTTAGTTGTATCCAGAGACAAGGACAGAGATTGTATAGCACAGGTCTTTGGAATGGTGACCTAACAGTTCCAATTAATATAGTCCTTGCTAGAGTCTAAAAATAAAGACTCCTTTGATTTGGGGGATTGCTGTGTAGGTAGGCAGGAAGGCAAAGGACAGCTCACAAATACGCATGGGTGGGTGTGTGTGTGTGTGTGTGTGTGTGTGATACTTACGATTAAAATACGTACCACACCAGGTTCATTATTCCGTCACTAATCTCTGTTCACTACAAAGGGTGCAGACAGATGGTTCAAGCCTGGTTAAACCTCATGCATGCCCTTCCCTTGAGTTCTATACTGGCCCTTTCCAGGACATGATATCTATAGAAGCAGAAATTACTGGTATTTCACTCTTAAAAGGTATTATTTCTCACCTTTGGCTGCTACTGCTGTAGTTGCAATATCTACCCTTCTTAGAATTTGTGTTTCCTCCAAATTTTTTCCTTAACATATTGATGCCACGTAGGAGACCAATCTCTTAGTCAGGGCAAGATGGCCTTCAACTCCTATTGATTTTTTTTCATTTTGTACATTTTTGTCTGCTTGATTCATTTTCACCACTCAGTACTGAGCACTGGAATTTTTCCAAGCCACGCTGTTTTCTGGGCATCTGCTTTTCAATGCAGCAGATTTTGCTTGCTCTCTATTTCCCTTGTCTGTCCTCAAGAATAGGTCTCAGGTACTATTAGTATTTCTAAATTCCATGATAAATCACAAACTCTGCTACATTTACAGCTATCTAAAAGGTCACACCTGGTGAATGGCACAATGTCACCTGCCTGTCAAATCTTTGTTGATCTTGTAGACCATCTCGGTTATATTTTTGAGTAAGAACTTATATTCGGGCCAAAACCACAGCACAAAAGCACCTGGTGAACCTCTGCATGCTCTTGCAATCCTTTCATTTTACTAAATCTCCCATTGCATCACTCATCACATAATGGTGACAAATATCGATCCTGCATGAAAGAGCCATCTTTGATATGACAAAGATACTTTCATCTCAGATCTTCACTGAATAATTAGAAAAGGTCTTGTCGGCCATTAGAATTCATTCACCTCCTACAAGATGCTTCAGTGTCTCCTGCCTCCCTATCTAGATTACTTCATGGACACGTATGCAGTTGCCCCAATAGGCTCTAAAAAATGCTGTGTTTTTTTTAAGTCCTATAAAATTAAAGCAACTTTGCTCCTGAAAGTGTTATAAATCACAGCCATAAGATAGACATAAATGTAATTTGCTGTATTCTTAATAATTTGATATACAAGTTAGTTTTAATACAGTGAGATGAACATTGGATCACAAACTCAAATGTTCATTGGAAATCTTGAGCATAAAATCCTAACTATACTGCCAAGGTTTGAAACAGTGTGAGTGAAAATGGAGAGGTTGCCAGTTTACATAATTGTAGCCTCAGAAATCCGTAGAGTGGCTGTGTAGTCAAGGGATTTAATCAGTGTAGTTAAAAAATAATGACAAGTGCTTCTGTTCTAATTTTGTCCCATGCGCATACCTTCATGGCACATATCTTCAAGAACAAATGCACTTAATCCAAGTCAAGGATGACAAGGAGGACTGCCAGCCTCTCCTGAGCAACTGATTCTCTGTAAACAGAGAGGTATTTAGAATCCAATTTAAATTCCATCCAGAACACAGAGAGCCATTTCCCTTTGCTGTGGCCCTTCAAGCTTATAAAGGAAGTAAGGAATAAGAAGGAAAAATTAATTTTGGGATTTTATTATTTGAAAATAATGAACACCAAAATGTGACATAAACATACATCTGGTTTAAAACAAAAATACATCTGGTTTTTTAAAAAAAAATACATGTGTACAGCTGTATCTTGCAACTCACTTAAGCTATGACCTGGGTCTTTGATTCTACAGCTACTGAAATTATTGGAAAGGGAGTTAAAAAATGTATTGTACTATGTCATTATCTCAAAGACTGATTATTATGCAAAAGTGTGTTCCAATTTCAATTTAAAAACTACTAATTTGTTCTCAACCGCTGTAATTTGGGATCCCATGGGATGACATCTGAGGACACACAGGAAACTTCGGAAGGCTGTTGTTGGTTTGGTGACTTGATTCATCAAGCCCCTACTTGGCCAAGGTTTCCACTGTCTGAAGCTACAATAACACAGTGCCACACTGTAATTCTCCACAGCTGGGAAAGCATAATACACATAACACAATAAAGACCTGAAGGTGTAATAAGAGAAAAGAACAGGGTGAGTCTCGGTTAGGTGATGGAAATAGACAGCAAAATAGGGAAGGGTGAGGAAGAGGGCTAAGTGACCACTGACTGTGTGGAATTGCTTTTATAGTCATACTGCCCTACACAGTGAAGGCTGGTGAGGTCCTACTAACATACAATGTGGAAAGATGTGCAATTCCTACATGTACCTGACTGTGTGTCAAAATCCCATTCAATGAAGCAAATATTTGTTGTATTCCTACGTTAAGCCAGACAATATGGTAGTTAGTCTTAGAAAGGTGATTGCTGTGATCAAAACAATATTTATTATTTCAACTAATAAGCAGTCATCTTTTTTAGTAATTAATATATTTTTCAATCCTTTCCTTTTGAAGCTATTTGTTGATGTCTTACTAAAAATACTATCTTGTTGGGCA